TGTGTAGGGTGTAGGGTATATGATATTGGGATGCTCCCCCTGATGCTAGCAGTCCTTAGTAGGGATACTCCCCTAATTATTGAGGATTAGTAGAAGGGGGAACATCCAAAGTTTGATTCGGACGTCATGTTTAAAATGGTAGTACCTCCTTATCCCTAGAGAGTCCTTCTAAGGCCCCCAAATCTACCCTTGGAAAAGGCTTCAGCGTCATGCCAAGGATCTAGGCAGGAAGTGTGACAAGCTGCAGACGGCAACTGATTCACGAAATTGCATTGCAACTTCACAGTTGACCGTAAGTTTCTGAAAGCAGAATTCCTCAGAACACTTCCTGAACTCTGAGCCCTTTTTAAGAGCCTTCTTCCCTTGTTTCGTTTTCATTTGGGGGGGGGAGACTAGTTGGGGTTCCAGGGTGCAGAAAGCACGTCGGTTTGGGGTTAAGGTTTACGGCCCGAGGGCTTCTCCTAGCGCTAGGTGATTAGATAACCCTAAACCCTAAACCCTATACCCTAAACCCTAAACCCTATACCCTAAACCCTAAACCCTAAACCCTAGACCCCAAACCCTAAACCCTAAACCCTAAACCCTAAACTCCAGCGATGCCAAGATCCATCACTTCCAAGCACTTCGACATTCGTTGCTTCGGGCTTCGGGTCCCTAGTAGCCCAAAAGCCTAAACCTTCTTTGTGGTACTTTACTATAACTTTAGATCTTTAGCCTTTTTGGGTTTTTCGGGTTGCTTAATAGGGCGGCTAAAGTTTTAATTTATAGCTACCCTCCCAAGTGCAGCCAAGCCTTTACAGTGAGTTGTTTTGCTTACGCAAGACGCAATATCTAGATCTGAGGATCTTATCATCTTAGGGATCTCAGGTTGTGGGGCCTGGGGCTTATTTGGTGTAGGTTCGGGCTTGGGTTTTTTCTTTGGCGACTTTTGGGGGTTAGGGCATGCGTCTGAGGCTCCCAGGCAGCACCTGAAGCCCCAAACCTCTGGCCCCCTCCACACCCCCCCCCCCCCCGCAACAAGCAAAACAAGAAACAACGACCTAAGTTTGGCTTCAACACCCTCCAGGCTCTTTGACCCCGACCTCGCGACAGCCTTTGCTGGGTGCCACCCTTTCAGGGGCTTTCCTACCCAAACAGTTTTGGGGTTTTGGGTTCAGGTTTGGGGCCCAATCCCCATTGAATTAAGAAATATACCATACCTTAGTCATATTCGGATCCCGATTATGATTGAAGGTCTATTCCTGAATCAAGGCGTATTGGGCTCGTTTAGGGTTTAGGGTTTAGGGTTTAGGGTTTAGGGTTTAGGGTTTAGGGTTTAGGGTTTAGGGTTTAGGGTTTAGGGTTCAGGGTTTAGGGTTTAGGGTTTAGGGTTTAGGGCTTCAGCGGGTTTCGGGTGGTTGCCTTGCACGGTTCCGGACGATCAGGATTGACGTGCTTGGAGTTGGTCGATCTCAGGATGTGGAAACCCTAAGCAACACAGGGTTTAGGGTTTAGGGTTTAGGGTTTAGGGGTTTAGGGTTTGGGGTTTAGGGTTTAGGGTTTAGGGTTTAGGGTTTAGGGTTTAGGGTTTAGGGTTTAGGGCTCAAGGCCTGCCCTTGCTAGGAGGGGCTGGGCTATTCGGGTTTGGGCTTGAGGCCCGAAACCCGAAGCCCTAAACCCTAAACCCTGAACCCTAAGCCCTAAACCCTAAACCCAACATGGCAGGTTGATGATAGGGATGCGGTGTATGAGGTATCGGGATTATCAAGATGACGGTTGCCGTCGAACGGAAAGCCGTGCTATGCGACTACTGGCGATTGAATGGCCTTCTTGCACCTAGCCAAAGCGAACAACCCCTCAACCCCAAACTCTAAATCCTAACCCTAAACCCCAAACCCCCTAAACCCCATTCCCCCTAAGCCCCATTCCAACCCTAAACCCCAAACCCCAAACCCTAAACCCTAAACCCCAACCCCCAACCCCAAACCCTCTAACCCCCCAGCCCTACACCCCAAACCGACTCCCCTGTCGAGCCCGGGAGCCGCCAGGTCGGAAAAGATGGACAAGCTGCTCGCCCGGCAAGTTCTAGGTATAGGGTTTAGGGTTTAGGGTTTAGGGTTTGGGGTTCAGGGTTCAGGGTTCAGGGTTCAGGGTTCAGGGTTCAGGGTTTATCAAGGTACCCTAATACTCCCCACTACTCCCTAAGGCTCCCCATGCTTGTTTTAGCTAGGCACCTACCCCCATGAACCCCCTTCCCTCAAGAACCCTGTAAGCAAGCCATTGCGGTAAGCCAAAAGCCGAGCAGGTTTTGGGTTTGGGGGTTTGGGGGTTTAGGGTTTAGGGTTAGGGTTTTGGGGTTTGGGGCTTAGGGTCTTAAAGGGTCTTAGGAATCCTGAAATAGCCTAAAAACCTACAAAAGTCTACACCCTACTGTAAGCCCTGGACTTTGCCCTCCACATCCCCAAGAACCCCTAAACCCCCCCCTCCCCCCCCAACCCCTAAACTCTAAACCCCCACAATGTGCAAAGTAGCCAAGGGTTTCCATCATCCGGCGCTTCCATCGGAACATGGAGGAGGAGCTGCACATGCTGCCCCTCACCTTGAGGTTTAGGGTTTAGGGTCTGGGGTTTGGGGTTTGGCGTTTGGGGTTTGGGGTTTGGGCTTTAGGGTAGGGTCCAGGGGTATCTCAGGCCGATTTCGGAGAGGACTGGAGCTCCGGCTACCTCATCTTTAGATATGTGCTACATGTATGCCCTCATTGGGTTTGAGAGCATCTTACCTGAAGGGCCAGCCCTTCGCTCTGCCTCAACCCTAAACCGAACCCTCGACGTCCTTGAACAAGACCGACTTCAGGTTCTCCAAGTTCGACTTCCTGCTCATGTTCCGAGAGAAGCTTGGTTTAGGGTTCAGGGGTTTGAGGTTTAGGGTTTAGGGTTTAGGGTTAGGGGTTTAGGGTATTTTTCGAACGAAGCGGCTTTTCATTCCTATCCTGTGAGCTGAGAGGAATCCCTGCGACTTTGGGACAGCTCGTTCCATGATCTGGGCGTTGCTTGCAAGACTTGAGGGCTCTGTTTTTGCTGCAGGGGCTCCTTCTTAAACCCTAAACCCTAAACCCTACAGTAAACCCTGAACCCTGAAGCCTTAGCCCTTCCATTGTCTGCACAAGCACACGGCGGCAATTGCAGAAGGACATTTGCAGAGAGCCCGAGGCCTAAAGAAGAACTTGGCACTATATCCCCCTTGGGAATTATTTGTTTATTTCAATGGAAGGGTTTAGGGTTTAGGGTTTAGGGTTTAAGGGTTTACGGTTTAGGGTTTTAGGGTTTTGGGGTTTTAGGGTTTTAGGGTTTAGGGTTTTAGGGTTTTAGGGTTTAGGGTTTAGGGTGAACACTGACGCACGTCCAGCTAGGCAGCTAGATCTCCAGCATTCGCTTGGTGATTAATGTCGGGGCTAATTCTGGGTTTAGGGGTTTAGGGGTTTGGGTTTTAGGGTTTAGGGCTTTGGGTTTAGGTCAATGAGGGGTTTAGGGGTTTTGGGGTTTGGGGTTTAGGGTTGAGAGTGTTCTCATATGCCGGCTCAGGTGATGGTGCTAGGCTGTGCTATAGAATCGCTCGCAAAAACTGCGCCTCAGCTCAGGAACTTCGTGACTTCGCAGTTCCGCTGGATGCTGGAGACCGTCATCTTTGTCTACGTCGTCCTGTACCCTTGGTGCGTGCGGGGCCCTGGCGCAATGGTTTCTTCATCTTGCTCCCCTGAAGGCCCTTGAGGGTGCACAAGCAGTGTCCAAGTTTGGGGTCGGAAAAATCCCCCCCCCCCCCCCCCCAAAGAAAGTGCATGGAAGCATGCGACGAAACCCAATCGGTTCCTTAACCCCAAGCCCTGAACCCTGAACCCTGAACCTTAAACCCTAAAACCCTGAGCCCTGAACCCTAAACCCGAAATCCTGAACCCTAAGCCCTAAACCCTGAACCCGCAGTCGCCATACTCAGGTCTGCAATGAGTCCAACTTGGTGTTGGGCGCCACGACGGCTGCTTGCCTGCAAAGCAGGTTTTCTTTTTTGGGGTTTACGCAAAGACCCTGAAACCCTACTAAACTTCGAAGTCCCCAAGCCACCCAGCTCTCATAGTTCCAGAACCTTAAACCTCGTGAGCCCCGGCCCATCCCCTCCACTTTATGAACTCCCATAGGCCCTGCAGCCCCAACCCCTCAAGCTCCCAACCCTAAACCCTGAACCCTCAACCCTAAACCCCCTACACCATAAACTCAGCCCCATGAGTCCCCTAAAGTACTTCTCAGCCCCATACGTCCCCCCAAGTACTTCTCAGCCCCATGAGACTCCCTATGTAGGCTATAAGTAGACTGAAAAGTGTGGGTCTAAGTGCCGATGAACTTCCAAGTAGATCACAAGCCCGGCGGCGCCCTTTCCCCCCCCCCCCCCCCCCTCCCTAAACCCTAAACCCTAAACCCTAAACACTAAACTCTAGACCCTAAACCCCCTGCCCCCCACCATTAACTCGAGGTTGGCATGGCCTGCGTCTTCTACGGCCTTAACGCCCTTACAGAGCAGCTGGAGGACACCCTGAACCCTAAACCCGAAACCCTAAACCCTAAACCCTAAACCCTAAACCCTAAACCCTAAACCCTAAACAACCTTACAGAGCAGTTGGCGGCCGGACAGGGCCGACAGAGAAAGAGCTCGGCCTCAGGTCCTTTGGGGTTTCGGAGTGCAGGGTTTAGGGTTTAGGGTTTAGGGTTTAGGGTTTAGGGTTTAGGGTTTAGGGTTTAGGGTTTAGGGTTTAGGGTTTAGGGTTTAGGGTTTAGGGTTTAGGGTGCAGGGTTTAGGGCCTAGGGCCTAGGGTCTAGCGTTTAGGGTCTAGGGTTTAGGGTTTGGGTTTAGTCTCAAGGATTTTCAGAGGTTACTAAGGGCTCAAGAATTTAGTTGAAGGCTCGCTTTGCGGGTCAGGGCTTTCTACAATGAGATACTTTATGCTAACCCCGCCACCCCGCCCCCCCCGCCCCCCTCCCCCCCCTCCCCTTGCGGCCCCTCGAAGCCGTCAAAACCCTCCAAACCCCAGAAAGCCCATAGACCTCCCAAACCCTCCAAACCCTCTGAACCTTCTAAACCCCTCTAAGCCCCCTAAACTCATAACCCGCATAAACCTCATAAACCCTCCCAAGCCCTACAAACCCTCTAAACACTCTATGCCCTAAGCCCAAAACCCTAAACCCTCCCAAACCCTGCAAACCCTCTAAACCCCTCTATGAACCCTAAACCCTAAACCCCAAACCCCAAACCCCAAACCCTAAACCCTAAACCCCAAACCCCAAACCCTAAACCCTAAACCCTAAACCCTAAACCCCTTTACAGCGCAACCGGCCCGGGCCTTCAAGAGAACCTCACCTTCCATGGTGCCACTTGGAGGTTCATGGCCTAAGGATTAGGGTGTAAGGTTTAGGGTTCATGGGTATTTAGAGCCCCAATGATACGTCTACCTATAACCTACTTAGGGATTCGGGGGGGGCCCCTAGTCAATACAGTAAACCCTAAACCCTAAACCCTAAACCCCAAACCCTAAACCCTAAACCCTAAACCCTACACCCTACACCCTAAACCCCAAACCCCTAAACCCTAAACCCTAAACCCCAAACCCCAAACCCTAAACCCTGAACCCCGAATAAAGTGCCCTGAACCTCCAACTCAGGATCCCGTGCACCACCAGTCGCAGGGCTTCGACCTCTGGACTACCTTTGTGAACTTGTTCGAGGCCTGGGCCGGCCGACCTGTAGGGTTTAGGGTTTAGGGTTTAGGGTTTAGGGTTTAGGGTTTAGGGTTTAGGGTTTAGGGTTTAGAGTGTAGGGTTCAGGGTTTAGGGTTTAGGGTTTAGGGTCTCGGCTTCAGGGTTGAGGGCTTAGGGGTCTGAGAATGAGAACAAAGCCCTGCAACACCCGAGCTGGTGAGTTCTCTTAGGGCCTCTTCCTTTGAGTACCCTAAATAGGAGGGACCGCCTTACAATCAGGACCCTTGGGATGTTCCCCCTATACTAGCAGTCCTTCAGAATCGGGCTCATAATAGGGGTACTATAATCCCCGTTACGGACTGGTACTGTAGTAGAAGAATTCAATCAGGACCCCAAAAAAGGGACCAGATTTTTTCGAGAAGTGATCAGCTGCGGGATCTTGTACGAAAAGGCGGGAGGTCTCGATGATTCAGGGCTCATGCCTGTGGGGCTTGGGGCTTGGGGCTTAGGGTGTAGGGTGTAGGGTGTAGGGTATAGGGGATTAGTAATTAGGGTGTAGGACTTTGGGGCTTTAAGCCTTGGTTTGGGGTTCAAGGGTTCTTCACCTGGTCACCTCCCTACACCCTATAGCTCCTTGCGCAGGAGTTAGACCGCGACGAGGCCGTGCGGGACTGCTTCTCGGCGTGTGCTAGTAGCAGATTCGGGGTTCTTCTAAACTTGGGCAACTTCTTGGGTTTAGGGTTTAGGGTTTAGGGTTTAGGGTTTCGGGTTTCGGGTTTCGGGTGTCGGGTTTGGGGTATAGGGTTTAGGGTGGCAGGGATGTTTCGGGTGTAGGCTTGTAACAGGTATCGTAGAGGAGACCCTCATCTCTTCTCCATCTGGTCAGTTCTCTATTTTGGTTTAGGGTTCAGGGTTTAGGGTTTAGGGTTCAGGGTTTTAGGGTCACTTGTGGACACCCTAAACAAGAGGGGCCTTCTATTTAAGGTTTGAACCATGGGCCCTTAGTATGGTCCCTTATTCTTGCTTGTAGGGATCCGAAGTATGGGCCCTTAGTACGCGTAGTGTATAAGGGTTATGTAACAAGGGACCCAAATTAAGGGCTCAGACTTGGAACCCTAGATCATAACAAGGACCCTGAAAAGGAAACATAATTTTGAGACGTGACCATCTGTTTGAGGCTTTGCTTGACGGTTCGAGCTTATAACCATAGTTACCCCCCCCCCCCCCCCAAACCCTAAACCCTAAACCCTACACCCTAAACCCTGAACCCTAAACCCTAAACCTCCAAGTGGGAGTAGATGGTGGTATGGGCCTCAGGCACTGCTCCATGCCCTTGTCTGGGTTTAGGGTTTAGGGTTAAGGGTTTAGGGTTTAGGGTTTAGGGTTTGGGGTCAGGGAGTTGGTGTTCGGGCCTCCCCCGGGGGAATGAGTCTTAGTGGTGTTCGGGCCTGCTCCAAGGGGTTTAGGGTTTAGGGTATAGGGTTTAGGGTGAACGTTCCATGGGATGCTCCCCAAGGTTGCCGGAAGTACCTCGAGAAGCACAAGGACTTGCCCGCATTAGGGTTTAGGGCGTTTAGGGCGTTGAGGGCTTCGGAAGCGGTCAGGGCCCTAAACCCTAAACCCCAAACCCTAGACCCTAAACCCCAAACCCTAAACCCTAAACCCTAAACCCTAAATCCTGACACCCTAAACCCTAAACCCTAAACCCTACTGAAGTTTTGTTTTCCGTGGCCCAAAGTGCATGGGGATCCGCCGGTGCACCAACTCCCGCTCCAAAGCAGAAATCCTGCCTGAAGCCAGCGTAGAACACATGGTTTCGGGTTTAGGGTGTAGGGTTTAGGGTTTAGGGTTTAGTGATCCTGGAATATCCTGGAATAGCCGAATAGCCTCAATCTCTAAGCTTGGAACCATGGGCCCTTAGTATGGTCCCTAGGGGGCCCGGTGCTAGGGTCCAGGCGGTAGGGTTTCCAGGCTTTGAGGTTCAGGGTACTTCTGACCCCAATTATAACTGCGCTTATTAAGCCCCTTAAGTCCTCTAAGTAGGTGATAAGTAGACTTATTCTTGGGGTTGTAAGTACCCATGATCCCTAGACCCTAGACCCTAGACCCTAGACCCTAGACCCCAAACCCCAAACCCCAAACCCCAAACCCCAAACCCCAAACCCCAAACCCCAAACCCCAAACCCCAAACCCCAAACCCCAAACCCCACACCCCAAACCCCAAACCCCAAACCCCAAACCCCGACCCGCGAAGGCGGAGGGGAAGCCTCTCAACGAAAACCTGCACCGGCATTTCGAGGCGGAGATGCAGGTGCCTAACAGCAGCTGGGGGGTTTAGTGTTTAGGGTTTAGGGTTAGGGTTTAGGGTTTAGGGTTCAGGGTTCAGGGTTCAGGGTTCAGGGTTTAGGGTTTAGGGTTTAGGGTTTAGCCCAACCGCAGCTAGGGTTTCCAGAGACTTTAGACTTTACTGGGTTGTGCTTTTGGGACGATTGTTGATTTCCCTTGTCTCCGTATAAGGGAACCTACTCATAATTGAATTTCGGGGGGCTCAGCTTAGGAATTAGGGGTTCAGGGCTTTGGGGGTTTCAGGGCCTCAGGGGGTTTCAGAGTTGAGGGGTTTAGGGTTCAGGGTTTAGGGGTAGTTTGGGGGTTTAAGGTTGAGGGTTTATTGTTGAGGGTTTAGGGTGCGCTGAACCCCCGACTCCGAGCCAACGGAGGTTCGGGGCTTAGGGTTTAGGGTTTAGGGTTTAGGGTTAGGGTTTAGGGTTTAGGGCTAGGGTTTAGGGCTAGGGTTTAGGGCTTAGGGACTGCAGGATGGTCCTGACCCCCCCCCCCCCCCCCCTTCCTTTCCCAGTACTCCAACTTAGGCGTACATCTCTCTACCCTGAAACCCTGTAGGACTCTTAAACCCTACATCCCTAAGCCCTAAACCCTAAACCCTAAACCCTAAACCCTAAACCTCTAAACTCTAGACCTCTAGACCCTAAAACTCTAACCCCTAAGCACCAAACCCTCAACCCTTAACCCTCAACCCTAAACTAAAAACTATAGACCCTGACATATCTCAGGGACTGGGTAGGCAACATTTCACCTTTTCGGTTTTTTTAGAGTTAGAATCCAACTACATACAAAAGACACCTTTTCTTTTTGGGCCAGGGTATTCAGCTCGTAAGATATTGAACCCCAAGCCACAACATGCAGGACCTGCTGCCACCAGCGCCTGTTGGCAGCACAGGGTTTTAGGGTTTTAGGGTTTTAGGGTTTTGGGGTTTTAGGGTTTTAGGGTTTTAGGGTTTTAGGGTTTTAGGGTTTTTGGGTTTTTGGGTTTTGGGTTTTTGGGTTTTAGGGTTTTAGGGTTTTAGGGTTTTAGGGTTTTGGGGTTTTGGGGTTTTAGGGTTTTAGGGTCTTAGGGTTTTAGGGTTTTGGGGTTTTAGGGTTTTAGGGTTTTAGGGTTTTAGGGGTTTAGGGTATGAGGGTTTTAGGGTTTTAGGGTTTTAGGGTTTTAGGGTTGTAGGGGTTTAGGGTTTTAGGGTTTTAGGGTTTTAGGGTTTTAGGGTTTTAGGGTTTTAGGGTTTTAGGGTTTTAGGGTTTTAAGGGTTTTAAGGGTTTTAGGGGTTTTAGGGTTTTAGGGTTTTAGGGTTGTAGGGGTTTAGGGTTTTAGGGTTTTAGGGTTTAGGGGTTTAGGGTTTTAGGGTTTTAGGGTTTTAGGGGGTTTTAGGGTTTTAGGGTTTTAGGGTTTAGGGTTTTAGGGTTTTAGGGTGTTTTAGGGTTTTAGGGTTTTAGGGTTTTAGGGTTTTAGGGTTTAGGGTTTTAGGGTTTTAAGGGTTTTAGGGTTTTAGGGTTTTAGGGTTTTAGGGTTTTAGGGTTTTAGGGTTTTAGGGTTTTAGGGTTTTAGGGTTTTAGGGTTGTAGGGGTTTAGGGTTTAGGGTTTAGGGCTTAGGGTTGGGTTTGGGTTTAGGGTTTAGGACCAGAAGGGCTCAACACTCTCACATTGAACCTAAATCCTAAAACCTGAACACCCAAACACCCCTAAACCTTAAACCCTAAAGCCGAGCCTAAGCCGAAATAAACCCTATAACCCTAATCCCCAGACCGTGAATCCTGAATTAATCCTAAACCCTAAACCCTAAACCCTAAACCCTAAACCCTAAACCCTAAACCCTAAACCCTAAACCCTAAGCCCTAAACCCTAAACCCTAAACTCTCAGCCATCCTTGCTGTCTCAGGCTCTTCAGCAGTCGTCCTTCCCTGCCGCGGAAGCGTGAGGTCAGTGTCCGCTGAGCTCCTTGCCTAGGACCCATAGTAGGACCTTATTCCCTTTTGGTTTAGGGTTTAGGGTTCAGGGTTTAGGGTTCAGGGTTTAGGGTTTCGGGTTTAGGGTTTAGGGTTTAGGGGTGTTGACAGTTCAGCTCTCTGGGGTTTAGTGTTTGGGGTTTAGGGCTAAACCCTAAACCCTAAACCCTAAACCCGAAACCCTAAACCCTAAACCCTAAACCCTAAACCCCAAACCCTAAACCCTAAACCCTGAATCTTTTGGGTCGCGGAACTAGGGCGTTGCTGGGGTCACCAGGGTGTGGGGGGGAAGGTCCTTGAGCCCCCCCCCCCCCCCCCTCACAAAAGTTTAGGGTTGAGGGTTTTATATTAACAGATATTAAATATATACACACATATATACACATACAAGGTATAAGTATATATGCATACTCCTATTTGCTTAAGAATTCCACATCCTTATATATTGCCCGAGTACGGAAGAACCTTTGTGTTTTTTGGATGGCTCTTAAGCGAATAGTAGATTGAGATGTTCCCCCTTCTTCTTCTAACAATCCTTAATCGGGATTATAATAGGGGGTACTATAATCGCTATCAAGGACTGTTAGTAGAAGGGGGAACATCCCAAAGTAGAAGTTATCATCCACAAAGCTGCTTGCGTGCGAATCTTCTTGCGTGCGCTCAGGTGTATGGACTACAAAGATGCCTAAAGTTGTGATCCTAACGTCCCAGCATCATGTGAGGCACATGCGTAGTCCCTTTTTGCGTACTATGTGTGTAACGATAAGAATCATAGTAGTAATAATAATAGCAGTAATAACAATGATAACAGTAGTAATTAGTAATAGCAAAATAGTACATTATATATATATATATATATATATAGTACGGCGCCTGTATTATCAGGACCCGAGAAGCAACCCTAGCTTAGAGAACTACCCACGTGGAGCACGGGCCCCTTTTAGGGCCGGGTTCATGTCGTCACCCACAGTGCTTCAGCTCTCAGCGCCCAGGTTACGTGGGCCGCACCCTGGAGCTGGGTGATTCTGAAGCGGGGTGGGGGGGGGGGGGGCTGCTCTGCGAGAAGTTGATCACGAAGCCCTAAAATCTTCTTTTGGGGGATTATTTTGGTTTAGGGTTTAGGGGTTTAGGGGGTTTAGGGGTTTAGGGTTTAGGGGGGGGGGAGGTTCAGGGTTGAGAGTTTAGGGTGGGGGTGAGGGAGGACCTGGTTAGCACACTTCTGCTCCGATGTCTATGGTTTTGCATGCACCTTGCCTTAAACGACGTAAACCTGTCTGGCAGTGATTCCTGTGTGTGCCCTGACCACGAAATCCCTGATTTCAAGCCTTGCCGACGGATTGGCTGAAGGCGCACAAGCAGCCCTCATGCAAGATCACTTTGAAATTTGAAGACGGGTCTGCTGGACTCGTTTGAAGGGGTGCCTGGTACGGAGGAGCCGTGACAGGAGCAAGCGTGTCCGGGAGTGCTGCGAACCCTGCTCCAGCAGACTCGCGTGCAACCTTGTCAAGCACAGAACTTCCGCTTTTGAAAGCAAGCCCATACCCAGTTTCACAAGTATTTTCAAAACACAGCGGCCATCCACGCAGACATGCCATGTTGCAGTGTTTCGTGCAAGGCGGCAAGCCGACATGAAATAGCCGGGCCCCAAGTGTAGGCAGAGGGAGACGGCCACCCTCGCGCACAAAGCCAAGCTGCACACACATGCACACGCAAAGTCGGATTCGAAGTCCCTAAGCCCTTGAACGCTAAACCCTTTGAAGCCATCAGCGCCCTCTTGAGTCCCGAATCTGAGCATGCGTGCAAAACAGGTCATGGCATGACCGCGCGAATGGTGTGGCTAGGCCCGATTTCGAACAGGATCAAAGGCCCATCCTGCCCGGGTCCGTGTCTCAAGAGAAACTTACTTCTCCAACAGCTGAACTTTAAACTTTTTGGGTTTCCTTATTTAGTAGGAATAATAAAGTTTAACCTTTTTTCCCCTTGGCTATTGGAGAAGTAAGGGAAAAGTGTCGTCCAGTTCTGCGCACGCAAAATGTCTTGTCTAGTGGCCTGGTTTCTGGATGTGAAACCCCGAGACCATCTCGTTGTAGATTGCTTATGTATCTTACACATCCCTGAGCCCTGAATTCCAAGTCCCTAAAAGCCCAAAACGCTGAACCCGGAGCCCCAAATCCAAACTAAACCCTAAACCTTAAAAACCCTAAACCCTGAACCCTGAACGCCAAATCCTAACCGGTGAGCCTTCAAGCACGTCGAGTGCTTCCCTTGCTTTGTCTCTTGGGTGCGGTGCCTTCGACTTCGGCAACTTTGCATGCAGGCCCTGTGAACTTGATGTTGTTGGCTCAATTGGAGTTTTTAGGGTTTAGGGTTTAGGGTGGAGGGTTGAGGGTTGAGGGTTGAGGGATTTTGTTGAAGGCTTTTGGGCTTTAGGGGTTTAGGGTCTAGGGTGTAGGGGTCTGATGGGCTTGGGCTTGACGCTACTCTGGCCGCATCTCTCTGGGAACTTGTTGGCTCGGGAAGTGGGACACGGGGTACCCTCGCCCCCAGCGCCCTCTGCTCTCGTCCGCTCTCCGACGGGGAGAAAGGCCCAGCTTTCTGTTTTCACGTGCGCGTTTCAATGCTCTCAGCCCTAGACAGTATTGACCCTAAACCCTAAATCCTAAACCTTAAACCCTCAGCCCCAAACCCTAAACCCAAAACCCTAAACCCCAAACCCCAAACCCTAAACCCTAAACCCTAAACCCTAAACCCTAAACCCTAAACCCTAAACCCTAAACCCTAAACCCTAAACCCTAAACCCTAAACCCTGAACCCTGAACCCTGACCCTGAACCCTGAACCCTAAGCATGTGGGCCCAAACCGTAAGCCCTAAACGCTTTAAGCCCTAAATTCACCCCTCATCAGCAGCTTAATCACCTCAGCATCAATCTCCCTCCCTCTCACACCTCCCGCCCTAAATCCGAAACCTTAAAGCCCTAAACCCTAAACCCTAAACCCTAAGCCCTAAAAGCCTAATCTTCAACTAGCTCATATTTCCTTATACTATTATATAATCCCTCTAAAGTTACGTAGCCTCTGCAGGGATCCGCAGGGCACCCAGTGAGCCCAAGGCCCTTAAGGAATTTTAACTTGTAATATCGGGTTTAGGGTTTCGGGTTGAGGGTTTAGGTTTAGGGTTTAGGGTTTAGGGTTTAGGGTGTGGGGTTTAGGGTTTGGGGATAAGATTTGAATCTAGGAAATCGGGGCTTCAAAGAATGGTGGCTTTTTGCGCTTGGGCTTATGATTCAGACAGGGGGGGCTTATACGCGGATTCGGGTGATTCAGGCGTCGTGGAAGCTCAAGTCTGCAGGCTGTGGGGGTTTAGGGTTTAGGGTTTAGGGTTCAGGGTTTAGGGTTAGGGTCTAGGGTTTAGGGTTGCATGTTTTTCGTTCGTGCTGGGATGATTTTGTGCGATTCGGTTAGGTTCTAAACTTTCGGTCCCTGGACGATACAACTTAAACGGCTGCACATCCTAAATGCAAGCGGGGTATATGAGCTGACGATATGGTCATTTCTCTACATTAGGGTCCCAAGGCCCTAATTCCCAACTTGCCTTGCATAGCTCCTAAACCCTAAACCCTAAACCCTAAACCCTAAACCCTAAACCCTAAACCCTAAACCCTAAACCCTAAACCCTAAACCCTAAACCCTAAACCCTAAGCCCTAAACCCTAAACCCTAAACCCTAAACCCTAAACCCTAAACCCTAAACTCTAAACCTTAAACCTTAAACCTTAAACCTAAATAAACCCTAAACCCTAAACCCTAAACCCTAAACCCTAAACCCTAAACCCTAAACCCTAAACCCTAAACCCTAAACCCTATACCCTATACCCTATACCCTAAACCCTAAACCCTATACCCTAAACCCTAAACCCTAAACCCTAAACCCTAAACGGCCCAGGGCCTTGATTTCTCTAGTTGCCAGGATGGCCTCAATGAAGTCGTGGACGCTGTGCCTCTTCGCAGCCACGGACTCAGAAGCGCGCATGGGGCGCCTGGAAGTTTAGGGTTTTAGGAGCCCTAAACCCTAAACCCTTAACCCTAAACCCTAAACCCCAAACCCTAAACCCTAAACCCTGCACCCTGAACCCTAAATCCGCGACAAGTGTTCAGAATATTCCCGCGCCTTGAAGTTCCTTAATCCCAAGGCAAACCGGACGCCTCAAGACCCCAAGCCCTACTTGGAGGTTCACGGGTGCTTATGACCGCGGTTATAACTGCTTTTTTGGGGTTTAGGGTTTAGGGTGTTCAGGGTACTTCTAACCCCAGTCATAACTGTACTTATAAGCCCCCCCCCCAAGTCCCCCAAGTAGGTTATAGGTAGATAAGTACCCATGAACCTCCAAGTAGAGCAGGCAGAAGCACAGCCCTTCGGCACCCTGAGACACTGACGTCATCTAGGGTTTAGGGTTTAGGGTTTAGGGTTTAGGGCCGTTTAGGGTTTAGGGTTTAGGGTTTAAGAGCCCAAGTCAAGACGTCTTCATAACCGAATTGCGCCCAGAATCCCTTACAGCAAATTTAAACTCCAGTAAGTTCGAACATGGCGTAAGGATGGTGAGAGCTGGGATTCCCTCTAACACCTTCTGGGCTACGGGGATAAGGATGCTCCAACCTTTTTGGAGTTTACCGTCAAGCCCCTGAACTCCCCTAAACCCTAAACCCGGAACCCCAAACACTCCTAAGCCCCCAGATCTCCTCAAAATCGCGCTAGTTTCATGGGCCCTTAATCTGGCCCCCTACCTCCCGGAAAGGGTTCTGATGTATGGGCCCTTGATTTGTAGAGGGGTACGTACGGGTGCTATAAAGGGTCCCGCCCATATTAAGGGACCATGCAACTGCCATATTAGGGTTTAGGGTTTAGGGTTTAGGGTTGAGGGTTTAGGGTTGAGGGTTGAGGGTTGAGGGTTGAGGGTTTAGGGCTCAAACATAGTCTCGCGAAGCAGTCGA